CGGGGAACTGCAGGCCGGCGCGCGACGACCGTGACTTAGCCTTGGCGCGGGCCTTGCCGCCGGTCTTACCGCGGCCCGACATGCTGCGCGAGGCGGAGGAGCGGGAGCGGCGAGGAGAAGCGGCGAGGAGATGCGGAAAGCAGGCACGGAAAGGAAGCTGCCGACGCAGTCCAAACGCTGCCGCGCGCTCGCGGGGGCCGCCCTTATAAGCCTCCAGGGCCCGCCTCCGCGCCCTGCTGATTGGCTCTTTTCTCTAATAGCGTCTCTGGTTGGTTGCAGTTAAGCCTTGGTGACCCGTCTTAGCTGAGGGAGCGCGACAGCCGATTGGTCGAATTTGAAAACCTTTTGCCCGGGGAAAACGGCGAGGAGCACGGCGCGCAGCCAGCCCCGCTCCCTCCCGCAGCCAATCCGCGGGGAGCGCGCGAGATTCAAACGCTACGCCGGCGACCCAAACCGGAAGCCAAAGAGGGTGGAGTCTGAATCCGCCTGGAGAACCACCGGAAAGTGTGTGGAGCTGGGCCTTTTAAAAGGGTGCGCTCTCTAAGTCCCCGGCCACCCCTTCCGGTCTGGTCACTCCCTTCTCCCTCCCATACAGCGAAGGGAGTAAAAAGGGAATGAGAGCCCGTGGAAGTTCCGGTCCCACACCCGAGAGCAGATCACTCGTCTATGGCCCTTCCTGCTACTTGAGATATCAGTATTTCAATATTTATTAAACAGGCTCTGTGGGTCTCAGTTCTTTCTGCTCACACTCTTTTTTTTTAAAATATATTTTATTGATTTTTTTTAAAAATATATTTTATTGATTTTTTACAGAGAGGAAGAGAGAGAGATAGTTAGAAACATTGATGAGAGAGAAACATCGATCAGCTGCCTCCAGCACATCTACTAGGGATGTGCCTGCAACCAAGGTACATGCCCCTGATGGGAATCGAACCTGGGACCCTTCAGTCCACAGACCTACGCTCTATCCACTGAGCCAAACCGGTTTCGGCATATTTTATTGATTTTTTTACAGAGAGGAAGGGAGAGGGATAGAGCCAGAAACATCGATGAGAGAAACATCTATCAGCTGCCTCCTGCACACTCCCTACTGGGGATGTGCCCGCAACCAAGGTACATACTCTTGACTGGAATCAAGCCTGGATACCCTTGAGTCCGCAGGCTGACGCTCTATCCACTGAGCCAAACCAGTTAGGGCAGTCTTTTTTTTTGTAATATATATTTTTATTGATTTTAGAGAGGGATAGATAGAAACAATGATGAGAGAGAATCATTGATCGGCTGCCTCCTGCACGCCCCCTACTGGGGATCGAGCCCACACCCAGCATGTGCCCTTGGCCGGAATCGAACCTGGGACCCTTCAGTCCGTAGGCCGATGCTCTGTCCACTGAGCAAACCGGTTAGAGCTCTGCTCAGTCTTGCTAGAAGGGGCCTGGGGTACTGGGGGGCGAAGTGGGTGGGGGGCGGCGGATAGGGCAGAGAGATGGGCAACTTCTTGGAGGAAGGGCCTCCACCAACCCTCCTAATCTACCCTAGGATACCCAGGAGGAAACACACTTGGAGGGACAAGAAAAAACACATCGCTTTATTGTTACCACTGGGAGCACCTGCACCCCCATCTTCTTTTACTAATTAGAACCCTTAATTTATAGTCTAATATGATCTTCTCTGAGCCCGTGTCCCTCTCAGGAGCCAGGGCTCTGCCCCAGGCCCAGCCTATTCCTTGAAGGTTGGAGCTGTGGACACCGAACAGCCACATGCCCTCCCTCAGGGCTGTGGCAGGTTGAAGAAACTACAGGCAAAATTCAATCAATAGTCACTGCCCAGCATGTCAATTATCACAGGGGAAAGGAAAGGCTGGGGGAGGAGGAGGGGTGGGAGGGGCCTGGGCTGAGAGGCAGTCTTGGTCTAGAGAACGAGGTTGGCCTGAGTCCTTGGCCTGAGTCGGGAGCCCTGGAGACTGTGAAGTGAAGGCAATGATAAGGGAGCTCAGACATCATAGAAGAGCCGGACAAGCTGGTACCGAATGGAGAAGGTGACAGCACTGCCCAGGACCTGCAAGGAACAGTGAGCTGCAATGAGAACCATGGAAAGGGAGGCAAGGAGGTGCGAGCCCCGTCCCCAGCCACACCTGTAGCAGCAGCAGTAGCAGGGTGAGGTTCCTCTCATGCATGGGCCCAAAGACTTTAAGGAGCAGGTTGATGAGGGTCATGTTGTTACACTCAGTGAAGGCACCATCCTCATCCTCACTCTGGCGCACTGTCACCAGCTGCAGACTCTCTGCTACCTGGAAGGGCCGAGGTGGAGAGAACTCAGCTAATACCTATGCTTATCGAATGGGGACCTGCTTAGTGCTTCCAACTCCCCTGGGGTCGAATGCAGGCCTGGGTTCCCCACTCCCTGGATTCAGGATGGTGGCCTAAAGCCTTACCTCCTCGTTCCTGTTACCTTTAATTATGTGTGTGGGTTTGGGGTTTTTTTTTCCCCGATTGATGTTAAGAGAGAGTAGAAGAGAGAAGGAAAGACGGGAACATCAATGTGAGAGAGACACATCGATTGATTGCCTCCTGCATGTGCCCAGACCAGGGCCTGGGCTGGGGAGGAGCCTGAAACTGAGGTTTGTGCCCTTGACTGGAACCAAACCCGGGAATCTTTGGTCCGCAGGCCGATGCTCTATCCACTGAGCCAAACTGGCTAGAGCATGTGTGTGGGTTTTTTTTAAGTTGATTTTAGAGAGAGAGGAGGGAGAGGAAAGAGAAACATCGATCAGCTGCCTTTTGCACAAACCCCAACTGGGGATCAAAACCACAACCTGGGCATATGCCCTGACCTGGAATCAAACTGGAGACCTTAGGTGCACAGGATGGCACTCAACCAACTGAGCCACACCAGCCAGGGCCCCTGTTACCTTTAGAATAAAGGTGCCCAAGAAAGACAGGCTCTTGGTCTTGAACTTGGAATAGCTCATCTCCAGTTTGCCTGTGTTGGTATTAAGTCTGCAGGGGAAGAGAGCTTTATGTAACTGGGCCTTACTGAGAGTGTGGTTATTTAATAGGATGAGTTCTGAATGTGCAGATCTTTCTGGCTCTGCAGCTTACTATATGTGATCAGAGCTGCTGTGATCATTAAATGAGATTATGTAGTAAGTGTGCTCTGTCATTTATAAAATGCTAACCACAGGGGACAGTCAGCCCTTCTTTGGGGCCACTGCCTTTACACAGCAAATGTCTAAGGCTGGTTTTATGCATCCCAAGCAAAAAGGCCATGATGTCCCTTTCAAGCCCCAAAGCAACTACCTGGGCACACGGTGGCGAGGGCAGGGGATGATATGCAGGAGCTGAGGCAAGGAGTAGAGAAAGTTGAACACCTGGGGCATGAAGAAGAGGAGCATGGTCTTGCTGAAGTGTCCCAAGATGCCCACCACGGCAAAGGTCATGCCAGCGAAGTAACAGAAGGTATCTCCCACAAACACCCGTGATGGGTACCTGTGTGGGGAGAGGATCTGAGCCAGTGGCAAAAGGCATTATCAATCTTTCCTCTCACTCTGGGCCCTGGGCTAGCCCTGACCCCAGTTCTGACTCACACTCCATCTCTCCCAGCAACTCTCCAGACCCAAGGCCCTGAACTCATCTATTCCTGTGGCTCCACAGCACTTGGACCCAGCCACTGCCGGTTAGAGAGCAATTAAGAATACGACCAACTCAAGACACAGAAAACAATACAGGTGTGCACAGACTTGGCCTCTCCATTAGGAGATGGGTCGTGATCAGGGCCATACTTGCCACATGTTAAAACAGTTGGCCCCCATCTACAGGCCTACTTACCAGTTGTGATAGAGCAATCCCAAGGTGGTGGAAAAGAAGGGCAGCATGAAGTAGAGGGAGAAGACATGGTCATCTCGACAATCACCTTTAGAAGCAGGGAGAAAAGAGGGAAAAGTGAGAGCTCCTCCGCATGCCATTTCTGTCTAAGTTCTGTCAAGCTTTACTGTCTACCTCTCCCAAGTCACATTCAAGAACTCACTACTGTCCGGCCAGTGTGGCTCAGGGGGTTAAAGACCTACGAACCAGGAGGTCACGGTTCGATTCCTGTCAGGACACGAGCTGGGGGTACAGGCTCATCTCCAGTGGGGGGCGTACAGGAGGCAGCCAATTGATTATTCTGTCTCATCATTGATGTTTCTATCTCTCTCTCCCTCTCCATTTCTCTCACTGAAATCCATTTTTTAAAAAAAGAACTCACTACTTCTTTTATGTCACCCAGGCAATTTTCAACATTCCAGCTCTTTCATGAGCCCTTTCTAAACTAGTTATTGCCTTAAATTGATTTAGACCGTTCACACCTAGGTTTGAATACAAGCTTTACTCCTAACT